TCTTGTCTGGATACCCGTATTTGGCTAGTAAAGAACTCTTCTATTATAACTGTTTTCAGACTTATCAGGACGTAATATCACATATGTATTGTCCTCTCATTAAAGAAAGTGCATGCGTTGTCGGTAAACCTGAAAAAAAAAAACGTGGTTGTAAAAATATTAAAAGAAAAACAGTTTTATGGGTGATTTTGTTTACTGGTAGTGTTATTACGAAGTCAGTATATGGGTATTTTAAACAATCGGGACGCATCGGCGAAATATTTTTGTGTACGTACGTAAGAGTCTACGATGTACGCGTTCGACAGGTTTCTGGGAATGGTGTAGTGCGTCAGTGTAGGAACTGTTAAACCTTGCCAGTATCAGTTTTGGATAACTGCGTCCAACCTCACAATGTGACTAGATATAACAGAAATCCTCCAAGTCTTTGTCGCTACGCTTCTTTAGTTATCGGAATGATTCATAACCATTAAGTCAGCAGGAGTAAAGCAAGGGAAGCATGGTCGTCGGGCAGCTAAGAATCCGGTCGTCACCTGTTCGGAATGACCAGATGGTTAGGGCACTTGACTCGCAATCTGAGGGTCGCGGGTTCGAATCCCCGTCCCACCAAACACGCTCGTCATTTCAGCCGTGGGGGCGTTATAATGTGGCGGTCAATCCCACTATTCGTTGGTAAAAGAGTAGCACAAGAGTTGGAGGAGGGTGGTGATGACTAGCTGCCTTCCCTCTAGTCTTTCACTGCTAAATTAAGGATGGCTAGCGCAAAGAGCCCTCGTGTAGCTTTGCGCGAAATTCAAAAAACCAAAACCAAACCGGTCCTCACCAAAAGTCTGCATGAACAATGTTTTGGATATGAGGTGGGGCGTGAATGTGACGCCATAGACTTATCAGTGTTGTTGAAATTATGGTACGAGACGAGTTTATAACGACTCAGTGTAATGTTAACTAGCTATTGTACTCACTTCTAAGCTCCGAGATGTTCGTCCTCTTGCTGTAGGATAAAGTAAGTTGCGAAACTGGACTACACGGTGACCGTTCTGGAAGGTATACGGTTCTTCTATGGCTCGTGGTTTTTCATTGATCCAGATGATGCAATTATGGGTGTGCATATGACCATGAAAGGGAAATGGATCTCATCTGTTCATAAGATGCATGATGGTCAGTTTTTAACAACTGGTATAGGCGACATAAATGCTAGTGTAAACGATTTTCAGGATTTATAATCGCGACTTAATACCAGAGCACGCTGGTTGGTGTAAAGGAATATATGTGGTGGGTAATGTGCGAATCTTTGCATAATAAACAACTTTTTTGTATACATTGTTACAGTACGTGTTGTATTAAGATACCGTTGCATAAGAATCGGTGATTCTTGTTAAACACTTTTGCAACCAATTTTATATTAAGATGACATTGTATGAAAATTAATGTTTAATGTAAGCTAGGTAAAAATGTGTGGAATTCAGTTACTATTTTATCATAATTCATACACGTTGAATGGAACGACCAATTATTCTACAGAGGGGGGTTGAGTACCATGTGTCAAAAATTCTTTCCAGTATGAAAATCTGTAAGTTATCTGACAACCGCAACCAATATAAGTTTGGATGGAACAGCATGTATTAGAAATATATTTTGACATTGGCGTTGCGTACGTAGCATGATGCTACAGAAAAGTGGTCTCTTAGAATTTCCATGAGAGAATTGGAAAACAAAGGAGCATGGATCAACTTAGGGTTCAGAGATCATCCAGAAAGAGACCTGCAACAAATCGTTCCCCCAGACGTGATAAGCAAAACGCAGCGTCTTGAAACAGGTGAGAATACACGACCACGAAGGTCAATAGCAAAAAAAAACCATCCGGATCTCGAAAATCACGTCTACACAAATTCCTTCCACGATATATTCGCGCAACAGTTCCACAACTGAAACAGTTGGAATGACAGGAGTATTTGTGCCATTCCAAACGAAGAAATGACGATCAAGTTGCTTATGGATTTCTGTGCGAACTAACTTGTTGAAATGAGCATTGAAAAACCATCGTCCTTGTACACTAGGTGAATTATGGAAAACATCTATGGAAAACGGTGGTCTTGCGAACATGAGAGTTTTACGTCGCAGTATTTATTTATTTTTTGGACATTACGCTGCGTAGCTATTTTCAAGATGTATAGTCGTCAGATAAAACATGACCGGACGTGGAAACATGGTCTTTAACAATGTGGTGGAATTCTAGAATCGTTTTAATATAACATATTCCAACTCCTGCATTAAACAAGTGTGATTTCAATTACAAAAAAGGAATGCAGTGGGGTTTACGCAAAAATATAATAAATTAGCAATGCGTGACTTTGAATGTTACAATGAAAGCCTATTACGTTTCAGTGTTTTCACAACATTTGGTATACTAGTACAGTAAGTCCTCTGATAGTTGTTAACAAAATATTTTTATGTTTCACATCTTTTTCTTTGTTTCGGTCATGGATCACAGTTGGTGACTTTCTACCCATTTTCTGTGGTGCAGAACCAGTTGAATTTTCGTAAAATCTTATTAATCGTTAAAATTATCTCAAATTCTCGGATAATAAATGTTTGATTTAGAAATAGTATCTTGTCTTAAGTGTGTACGTATATCATTATTTTTCATACCTCAAAGAATATATCTAGCAAACCTTTAGTTTCAGATTCAAGTCGAATAAGTCTGATATACTAGAAGGAAAACCGCTTTCAGAAGTTATAATGTATATTCTTCTCTTTGACAATTGTCAAAAAAAAGGCTTTTTGTTATATTTCTTAATAGTGTGAATTTATATTATGCTGTTGTTGGGCTTACGATTCTTCTACATTAGGTGTCTGTGACTTGTTAGCAATAAATTCAACGATAAATAAACAGCACACACTTCACTTGTTTTAAAATAATATATATATATATATATATATATATATATATT